ATTTCTTTAAGTCTCGCATGGTTAAATCGCCTTTCAATCCTTGTCTTTTCCCGCAAGCATCCGATTCTATCTCCAACTTTTTAACTATGACTGCTGCAGTCTTATCTCATTTTTTTACGTACACATTTTTCTTTCAATTCATTTCTTCTTTTTTATTTAGTGTCTTCAACTTTCTCTATTCTCAATCTCTTCTGGACAAAAAAGAAGTAATGTTAAGAATGAATGGCTTACTCTCAATTCTTCAATAAAAAAAATTTATAAAACCTAGTTTAGAAAAGAATTGTCTGACCTTCGTTAATAACTATAGACACAAACTTCCGTTTCAGTTGGTTTATATATATATATATTTTTTTGGTAATTATATACTTTCCGATCCCACTTGCCCTACCCCGTCTACACAGTTTCATACAGGCATGCTTTTCGGAAAAAAGCAATTTTTTCCTGCGATTTTTTTTTTTTGAAAAATATGTTTATTTTTATTATATGAACAGTATAAAATATATACACGCAGAGAAATGTATAGTAAAAATTACCCTGAATTTTATAGTAATTTGGTGACACTGTAGGGTGATGGTAAAACTTACTATATACATGGTAAAAATTACTGTGCACATTTTTAAAATTACCAAACTGCATAGTTATTTTTACTCTAATTTTACCCTAAAAATTACTATGCAGTTTAGTAATTTTTACCATATATATAGTAATTTTTACCCTCACCCTACAGTGTCACCAAATTACTATAAAATTCAGAGTAATTTTTACTATACATTTTTCTGCGTGTATCAATCTGTTTCACAGTTAGGTTGTACATAATAAAATATCCTAACATTAGCTTGAATGATAGTACAATACTGCACCTACTTTATTGACAACTTGGCTCAGTAGGCTGCTCGTTGTCATAAACTGAGGATTATAATTGCTTGCCAGGAGGCCATAAGTAATTTTTTAATTAAATGGTCCATCTAATTTGTGGTATTTCCTAATGCTGTTTGTATACAGGTGCGGTGAAAAGAGTATTATTGATAATTTGGATACAAAAACAAGTTACAGAGTACACTATTGCCTATATGTGGGGATCCACTTGCAAAAATTACCCAAGTTATTGAATTAATTTTAGCTCATGCTCTTTGTGTGTATGTTACGATCTAGCTGGTTTAAAATTTTTTTTTGCAATCAGGACTCGAACCTGGATCTCCCAAATTTGCACATTAGGTGCTTTACCACTTAAACTATCGCAATACTTTTAATTATTATTCTCCTAGACGTACCCATACTCATCGTGGTCCAACGAGAACTCCGTCGTCCCTCATACAGCCTTAAATTTAAGTAAATTTAATAAATCGCTAAATTAGCACATAGGGCTTGGGGTCATTAAGTATATATTTACCATTTCTTTTAATATGCAAAAATAATGAAATTAATTCTTTGTAATAATTAAGGATGTTTGCGTGAAAGATTACGTTAACTGATTGAAGGAAAATGATTTATTCAATAATCAATGATCAATGTATTTGTTAATATATGTAATAAACATAAATGCCAATTGAATTAACGTATGAATTAACATAAATTATTATTTAATCAATAATAAATAGTAGTAATAATAATGTACTTATTTTATACATGTTGTGATTGACATGAATTTTTTGCAACCACAGTGACATATTGCAGAATCTTGTGTTCTTATATAATTGCTATCACCCTCCTACGTTATTCAAATCATTTCACTAAGAATTTTATTATAATAAATATTGCAATTTAATACATATTTTACATATGTGCAAATCATAATGTTTATTATGGAGATTTTCAACTCAATTTTGCATACTAAACACAATTGTAATATATTTCTTATATGACACTGTCATTTTAGTAATAATTATATTTTTATTTACAACTGAATATCACAAAGGTGATAAATATATTCAATTTAAAATTGTCTAAAAAATATCAAATAGTTGGACTCACTATTATGAGTCGATATCTCATCCAACATGTCATAGTTTCATTCTTCATAATTTAAAAAGATCTTGATTGTTGGATGCTCAATATCACTTCAACACTTGATGATGAGTTCAACATGTAAAATTGGTTGAATATCTGTATTTATTTACTTGATTCGAGCAATCCTCTACTTGATAATACTTCATTTTTTTCTTAGTTTGATGAAATCATATTAGGATTATATAATAGAGCTATGGTTGGTCAATGTCTGGACCATTATTGCACATGATAACTATAAGGTAAAGGCATCAGTGCTTGATGGTGTACCAATGCTCGACATTTCGAAATAAAAAATTTTCTACAAGGGTTATATTTTATTGTTCAAGTCTTATATTTTACTTAAAGTGTAGAGCATTGATGCTTTTACCTTAATTACCAACATTATAAGTCTGATCCAATTGAGAGAATTCACTTGATAATACTAATTCAACATCACCTGGATGGCAAGTTGCTAGTCTAGGAAATGATGATTGTTTGAATCTTTGCTACATGTAGAAGAAATGAAGATAGTTGTCCCAACTATTTTTATTTACCTTAACAAAAATTTCTGTGACAATTAAAGAAATAGTTGCAACAGTTATTACAACAGTGATCACAATTGAACTCGTTAGACTTGATGGATTCTTTACTATCCTATCAGTTGGGTCAGCCAGAAATCTCTTGATTTAGAACAAAAATTACTGACTTGAATAAAATATTTCATTCATTAAAGTGACTTTTCTCAGTGCAAATGCATACTCATATTTATGATAATATATAATTATATTTTAATATCTTATATTTAAATTTTTAAGATATTCTCCAACACAAGCATTTGATCACAATGATCAGACCATGATTTGTTTTTTGTTAACTTGAGGAAGAATTCTCAACATTGTTCTGTTAAATACAAGTTTACTTGTGATGCATTCAAAGTTACTTCTGTTTGACAATTTTAATGCTTCATCACAATACTTGCTTTTATAGTAAAAAATATTACCAACTGATTTGCTCAGAAAATAGCAAGCTCCAAATCAAGAAGCTTGACATAAAATTAGAAAAACTCTTTGAAATAATAAAACTAAATTAATGTAAAAAATAAATTTTATTTGAATTAGAATAAAATTTATTCTCTTCACACCACAGGCATAGTTTCTTTTTATAAGAATACTATTTTTCCGTTTAAGAAATTACAAGTCTCATCACATGCACTTCATCCTCTGTAATGATTACACGTGCATACTCATGCCCAGGTGTACGTAGTTACCAAGTATTTGAACTTTAACTATGAGTAGAATACATGAAGGAAATTATTTATGAAAATAAACAAATAATAGGCAAAGTGAAACCACACAACCATATACTATACACCTGTCACTATTTATTAGCACACCACATTTTATCTGTCAGTTTATCATAAGGTGTGATAGTAAAAATGTTCATAAACATTATAATACAATCACCAGAATTTACTAGGTATCAATTCTAAAGTTTATTTTTAATCAATTTTTTCTAAATAAAAGAAAAACGAGGTCGTGATCAAATAAAGTACAGGTGTATGAACGCATTCCAATGTCTCGTAATATCGTTGGTCGATCATTTCCGGTTGAGCTCTTTAATTTACAGCTCACGGTAGTGACATCAATAGTCTAAAGAAGGTTCTTGACCTTCAATTTATCACTGATTATAAATATACATTCGTGACGAATTTATGCTAATTTATGCGATCTCATTTTATCGATAGCCACAATCTAATCATTCAAAATTAAATACATATATATTTTTAATATCATTTTGAATGTATCATTCGATAAAGAAGAACTATCTTTATTTTTATTGCTTTTAAAAAAATAATTAATTATACAATAGAATATTATTTAAATTTTAAACTTTCTAAATATTCATTTCAAATAAAAAAAAAAAAAAAAACATTTTCATTTGTCAATGTTGATTTTTTGTTTGTTATAGCAGGTTTTTTTTTTTTTCTTTCTTTCAACTTGTTTTTCTTTCTTAACATGAGCAGCCTTTAGCTTTAATAATGAAGTGAAAAATGAATTTATGAAATTTCTTAAAGGAAGTTCTTTAGTAATGAATAATAATTAAGGATATGAAAAATTAGTCAGAGTTACTGGTTTTTCTTTCTTTATTAAAATAAATAGTTTTAAAACAAAAGATCGATTTTTAGATAGTTGATGATATTAAATGAGTATTTACAAAAAAAACATTATTTCGAAAAAATTAATATAAATAAGTCTTAGGAGAAAGTTTATAGCAATAACTTAGTACTCATGTAATTTGAGATAAAATTATAACTTTTTTTGTTTATAGGGAAATTATTTATTAATTGTTATTGCTATTTTTTTTATTAATGTTTAACAATTAAATAATTTTCCTTGCAAATTGTCAAACATTATTATTATTTATTATTGCTGTATTATTATTATTTTATTTTCTAGTTGACAATAATCTATATCAAGACGTTGACTAATAAAAAAGGTTTTAAATGTGCGAATAAAAATTTTCATCATTTTATTTTTTAAATTTATTTTACAATTCTAAAACTAAAAATGAATGAAGTTCTAAATAAATGTACTATTAATAATTAACATAAATTAAAGCTGGTGATAAATTTCTTTATTAATTTTTAAACAAAAAAATATTTATTTTATCCAATATAAATAAGAACATTATTTACATGTCGTACATTTTTTATTATTATTTTTAGTTCTTTTTTCGTTTAAAAAATGTATTGGATTATCTCATGACATGTTTAATTCATAATAGATAATGATAAATAATTAATAAAATATTAATATGAGGATTACCATTAGAGTTATAACCACGGAATAAATCTATATGAAGTGATATCTAACTGAATGAACTGAATGAAATGTTGATGAATTTATTTTGAGAGAGTAGAATAAAAGTATCCTTTTCTTTCCCAGGTCACACTAATTCACGACTTGTTTTTATATTTATTCAACCGATAAATATTGAAATTTTTATGATTGCAGAAGTAGTCGAGAGGAAAAAAATACCAGGATGGGTTTAACCGTCACTGAAGATACACCAGCAGATATGCTAGCTGGAAGTATGGAGCTTCTGGTACAGTTGCCTCGTGACCACCATAATCACACACAACGAGTTACCGTAGAACGAAGGTACATATAAATTGAATTTTATTTTCTCTATATGAACTGTAATCCATCTCTTCATGAGTGATTAATTAGACCACATTGACTATTGGAATGACAATGAAGTATTTTCATTTGAGATGCACTATCCAACAAAGAAAAGAAAGTTTAAGAATTAATGATTTATCATTTCGCATTCCTAACGTACTCTTTAAAAGAAATTGAAAAGAGACTTATTTAGTTAGTATACCACGCAATGGTCAATATGAGTACTTTGAAGTATGTAAAGACACATGCACCACATTAAAGTCCATTCGATTTTGCGCAATCAAAAGTTTACAATCACGAAAGACATTACATGTGTGTATTTATTGCTCCCTTTACTTTACATACTTGACGTGACCATTTATATGCCACTCAACTACATTTCAGTATACACATGTGTGTCTATATCACAATCTTCCAAATACTTTCAATTCAATCATCTTGTTCATTCATTCATTATTCTACTATCGATTTCTCGCTTGCATTTTAAATTATAAAGAAAGACATTTTTTTTTTTTAATTTTTTAACTATCAAATTTTATTGAAATTAATTCATTATTATATTATATATATTGTTTACTTAATCTTATTAGCAAAATAGTATGCATAGGTTTTAACTTTTGATACTCTTTCACTGATGAATCAGTAAAAATCACTGGAAGACAGTATATCTTCATTGATTTGCAATTATAAAACCATCATTGTTTGAATCAGTGCTATTATTATCATTCCAAGCAGTGAATATTCATTGATTCATTTTAAAAAAAGTTCCGTGTTATTTATGATGATATTGTAACATCAGAAACATTTAAAATAATCTTCTCCACGATTGATTATGTGAGAAAAATCGATTAGGAGAGTGAAGTTTTTTAACAGAGACAAATAGTAGCTGTACTTGAATTTTTTATTTCCCAATATATTAAAACTATTAATCATACTTTTAAAAAATAGAGTACATGTTTGATAACAATTTTTTTTTCCACGGTCATGATAAAAAAAATTATTTAGAACAATAAATTATTTAATTAATAAATATTTGAGTAATTTATAACCATTAAATATTTGATAAATAATTATTTAGAACAATAAATTGTTTAATTATTAATTATTTGAGTAATTTATAACTATTAAATATTTAATAAATAATTATTAAAATAATTATTTATTAGTTAAATTAAATATTAAATAATAAAAGTATTTATTGTAAAACCTTCAAGTGAATCTGATTAATATTTCTGTAATAAAGTTTTTAAATTCAATGTATCAGTCTTCAATCAATATCTTTAAACATGTTGCAATAAAATTTTACTTTGTAAGAAGAGAAATTGACTTATAAATTTCTCTATATATAAGATAAATATATTTTTACCGGATAAAGAGCATTTTTTGTTTGTTGTGTACTCTTTTTTTTTTTTATTATAGATATATATTATTTCAAGAATTTTTTTTATATCGTACATTACAGTTATACATATAATTATGTTCATCACAGTAATCATCGGTATTCAATGTGCAAGAAGCGTAACGAATAATAGTTGGATTGATCGGCAATATCTGACCATGCGTAACAATTCGGTTTCTTTAGTAATTTTTCCGTTATATTGTAATAATATTTTAAAAATATTCCATACTCATTCATAAAATCATTTAACATAAATCATTTAAACACAGAATCATTGAATAAATGATCATCTATCTTCACATTGATCTTGAAATATTTAAATACAACTTAAATAAATAACTAGAAATAAAAATTTATTATCTTCATATTTTTATTAAACTTCCTTGATAATATGATAATTTTTAGTACTGCGATGATGGATTTGCTGGTTCAAATAGCAACAGCACACAAATTGGCAGCTTCAAGTTATACTCTACAAGCAGTCGGTGAGCGAGGTCTTGTTTTGCCCCATCAACCGAACACTCCCATCGGAGCACTGGATGCTCTAGAGGTATTTTTATGAGCTTTACTATTTTATTTTTTTACTATTTTTTTTATGGTATGCTTTATTTTCTTCAATTTAAAGCAAGTAAAATTGGAGATCTGCTCCATTAAAAGTCATCATCTTGCATTTACTAAAAAAAAACTCGACTTTTCATCAATTTCACAGGTAAAGTTACTTCCAAAGCAAGGGACACTCATTCCTAGGAAAACCAAGCAACCAAGTCAACCATTTGAAACAACTTTTAGATTGCAGGTATGTGTCAATCTCATAGTGCATTTAATGCCTTTACCATAAACAAATGTTACATCAACACTTGAATTAATTGTACTTCTAGGTACATCTACCAAGAAATCAACTTTACGTGTCACGAGTAAGTCCAAAAACTAATCTTGGAGATATATTGGACCAAGTGTGTCATGAGAAGAATTTGAACAAGGATAAATATGAGCTTCGACATCCTGGTGAGTTGGAAACGTAATGAGTTTAGGTCTCGAGGCCAGAATCATTTTAAGATTGATTAAAAGGAAATATGCCACTGTCATTTCTATTAAAATCAATATATTATCTTAATCACTCACATTAAATATGAATAGAATTGGTGAGAAAAGTTATTCGCATTTAGTAGACATGTTAAGTTTTATATAGGTATTTATCGTTTTTTATAGAATATAATTAAATTAATTATCAATCACATCATTCAACATCCTACATCTATAAAATGGAAAGTATAAATAATGAAAGATAACTTGAATTTCGAATGCAAAATAATTCTAAGATTACATACTTTTATTTATTATTAAAAAAAAAACAATTAGTTAAATAAACTTTCATTAAAAAAAAAATAATTACATCAAGAGTTGATTTTGCAAATTCATTGCATCAAAGCAGTCTCGATCTTCATCAACGTATGAGAATTTTGGAAAGCGTCAACCCTGAATTTAATTTACCAATCGGTCAATTATATGTCGCAAGCTTTCCCTCTATATTAAAACAGTAAGACTGCATGAATGCACGTTACGTTGATATACACATTGCACTCAATCCAAAGTCTACAGTGTGTAGTGTAATGCTGCAGTATTACGACACTTCTTCCCTCACTATTATTCTTCCAGAGGCTCCATACAACTCTGCGCTAATTAAATACCTTACTCCTTAATAGCAGGATCTCACATGGAACGAAACCAACGGAAATTCCACAACATTTACTCGTTGATGACGAGAAATTTGTTTTTAACTTAACATCGACAGCTTTTCTCAAACTTCAAAGACCTGAAAGTGTTTAGAATTATTTCTATTAAAATATCAAAAGTTTCTACTTCATTTCTTTGACATAATTTTAAAGTTATCAACCATGTCTAATAGTATGGACATTTAATTTATACACTAGTCAAGAATAATATTAATTTTTAATGAGAATAATTTAGAGATATTAAAATTTAAATAAACCTTAAGATTTAGGAAAATTTTAATATCAAGCCTATAGTCTGTCATGATTGAAAGGTTGATAACATTTATCATCATATCTGTCAGATTTGTCATGTTTAATGAACATTTTAATTAGTTCTTACATTAATTACGACTTATTATGTTGCTCTAGTTGATAATACTTTGAAAAATTTAAACATTTCATCAAATATTTATTTTTACTGAATTTAAATTCTCATAAAATCAACTCAGAAAAATTCTACACTAAATTTAACATTTTGTAGTCTCTTTAAAGTCTCTTAAATTCTACCAATTATTTATAAAAATTGAACAGTAACTACCTATTATATGAATTATTTTATACACTTTGATAATCTTATATTTGCTTCATAAAAAAATGAAAAAAGAGTTCTTGATCACCAAACATTTATTTCTAAATCATTTCCATCAATCCAAAAGAGATAATAATTTACTATAAAATTAATTCTTATCATTTTATGCAGTTGGAATATAATATTTATTAAAAATAAATTAAAATTATTTCTTTCTTTATTAATAAATGATTCAATCTTGGAAATACTTAGGTACAATAAGTATTGTAGTGGTCAATTTTATGATATAAAAACGATAGATAGTAATAAATAATAGCTGGCAATATATTTTATATTATATTTTGCTCTGTTAAATCGTGTGGTTAAATTAGAAAATAAGAATAATGATTGCGACTGCAAGTGGACTTCAGAGTAGCTTAGCATAGGAGGCATAGGTACAACAGGTTGATAGAATAACCGGTATGCGGTCAATCTGGAGATGCTGCTGTTGTAGAGTTTGATGCTCTGTGATTTTCTCTCAGTTATTTTATGTCTTATTGCGGTTTGCACCACCGAAGACTAAACTATTCTTGGTAAACCTCATTATTACTTCCGTAGAAGTAATTTTTCATTTATAACACATGAATCATAATCGATGAAATTGGTAGCAAAATAATTATAGTACATCAATCAATTAATTAAATATTATTCCAATTGCTATTAAAATAAGTCGTAAATAATGTTTCATTTTAATATTTATTACAAAATAGATTGTTAATATTCTGAATCAATGATCATTTTTACACATGATGATGATGATGATGATGATGATGATGATGATGATAATGAGTAATAAAATTTAATTAAAAATGAGTGTAACTATAAAAGTCTTGAATTAAAGTTTTTATTTACTTAATGAATATATTTGAATGGAATCGTATAATTATGTATTACAAAATCAATCGTCATCCTCTTTTATTCTGCTGTAACAAGTTTTGTATTTAACGTTGCCTTCGTTAGTCTCTCATTATCAGTGATAATTATATCTTATTATCTCAAGAGATCGTTTGTATTCTTAAATATACATTTAAGTACGATGAATTGTTTGAATCACTTGATATATTTCAAGTGGAAAAGTTTCCAAACCAAGAGAACATAAGAATATAAGAACATTTGTGCAATTTCCTTTTAGAAATTCACAATCGAGAAATTTTATCGACCTTATTCGTTCGCAATTTATCTTCTAGCATTTCAGTAATTTTTTTTTTTGTTTCTTGCTATCCTTTAGTTATTTATTACTTTTTTTACATATTTATAATTTCAATGTCGGTGAAACTTATTAACCACTTGCATTAATAGCCAAGAATAGAATTACATTTGTTTATTTATGTTCCTTTATCTGCAATAGAGAATAACTTATGATACTTCACAATACAATCTTCATATAACGTTCAAAGAATTATCGTATTAAACCACACATGTAGCTCGATTATACTTTTTATTTCTCAGAGCTCTCATCTGAACTCTAAAAGTTATCAATTTCATTCTCATTATTCTTCCTTTATTTTCACTAGGTTCAATACTTGTAATTATCATATGATGTATTTAATTACAAATTAGCAGAGGTAAAGTAGAAATAGAGTATTTCTATGATATAATTAATGTAGTTTTTTCTTTTTTGCAAATTTAATTATTCTAACGGGAATAAATAATATACGTCTACATATAATACCTACATTGTGACTCTTTTTCTAGAATAATATCCATTTCCAGTCACTACATCTTTTAATTCATATAATTTACACCAGGTATTACGAATGTCAATCAAAATTGTTAATTTATTATAACAAGCAAATCTTCGGATCATTTACCTCATCTTCTTCTTCTTTTTTTTTTTAAGAAATACAGTGAAGTAAAAAAAAGAAATATAATTATTATACTTACTATTATTTTCTTACGCTTTGCATCAATGATGCTCTACTTAATTCTTAAGTAGTGTCGTCTTGAGTGACATCAAGTGTATTTGTAGTCATTAACTATATGACAGTCTCATTCAAATACTTCATTTCATGCTGATTTCTATTTTCTCCTCATCTACACGTTTATCTAACGGCGTATCTCTCATTACTTTTTCTTAGGGCATATGTGTTGTTACTGAGGTCGTTTTTCTAGTTGCCAAGTCATCCCGCAAAATGATTTTTAGATGCAGTCACCATCATCATCATCACTGATTAGTTGTGCTGTAAACTATTCATTTTATGGAGTTTTTATATTTTTAACAATTTCATATTGACTTGTATGTAATGTTTAAAAGTGTTGAAATATTACATATATTGTATTATGTATAAAATTTGTAAGACTTCTGAAACCATTCGTGTGTATTCATCTAATTTTTAAATCCAATTTAATCCGCATTCCTTGAAATATTTTATCAGAAGCGTAGAAGTTTATTGGTTTATTTATGTCTAAATATTTTAATATGAATACATTTTAAATTTTAAGATATAAATAATATTTTTAAAATAAATTATTTGTAACAAATAGATCGGTTTAAATATTCTTACTTTTACGGTTTGTTTGAATTTTTTTTTACTTTGTCTAATGATAGATTATTATTCTAATGAAGAATATTTTATTCACCCTTAGTAGATTTAAAAGAATTAAAATAAATTCCGTTTTTTTAAACTTAATCTGATTTGCAAAATCAACTTTTAGCAGGATGTTTAATTCGATAGAGAGTTTATCGATAAGCATAATTTGATATTGGATATACCAAAAAAATAATGAGTAAACTCATCAGGATAATTTAAGTACAATAATAAAATTATCTACCAATATTTTTTAATATAGTTGAGGGTTCTATTAAATTTAATTCAAGTTTATTAAATTAGTTCAATATAAAATAAGGTTTAAATCAATTTTAGCTAACTAGTTTCATTATTTAGCTTTAAATAATATTCATTAATAATTAATTCTTTTTATTAATTATTTTTCTTATTTATTATTTCAGGTAATCACAAAGAAGTCTTGGATCTCTCATTATCTCTTCAAGATTATCAACTTCAGGAAGTGACCTTATATGCAAAGCAGGGACAAAATCTGGGATCTGCACTCAGTTCTCAAGACATAATAGCCCTTCAGCGACAAGAAGAGAGGCGACGACAACAAGCTAAGCAGGGTGTTTTTGGATTTATATTTCGAAAATCTAAAGAAAGTTCATTGAGTACTGAAAGTTATGGTGATAGAAGTGTATCACCAGCCAGAAGTGATGAAACTGGAAGAAGTGTAAGTCCTCTTGCACCACCAACAAGGCCTCAACGTAAAAGAAGGCCGGCACCCAATCCACCAGTTCGCCAGACCACAGAGCCACCGCAAAAGAATAACGATGTGGTCAAAGATGAATCAAAAGAGAAGCTCGTCATCAGTCACAGTCGTAATAGTAGTGATAGTTCGGGATATCATGAAGCATCTGTCCTCAGTGATAATCCGGACTCGGCTGGAAGAATGCCAGAGACATTACCAAGACGCAGTCGACTGCCAGGTAAATTTGAATCACGGAAATTAGCTCAAACATCTCAGGCTAGCAAAAGTCTCTGCAATTTAGCTATGAGCTGTGGAGGACTCAGCCATGCTAATAGCAATACATCGCTGAGTTCAGCCGGTATGTTTTTATTTAAATATACATAAGAATTTCGTACCAGATGAATGAATTTTTTAATTGATAACTTAATATTTTTACATTTATCTCTAAATGGTGATGGAACTTTTATTTAATGACAGAAATTAATCTACTATCTTAAAAAAGAGTAAGACAATTCACGAGTCTCATATAATCATTCGTAGGAAATATAAAGTCTCTTGCTATCTGATTTTTAATATTTTATTGAAATAGAGCTTTGTATAATATGAATAATAATTAATAAAATTCTATTAAATTACATTATAAAACATTCAATGTTATTTCAGGTATTCGAAAAAAAAGGGCAGCTCCTCAGCCTCCAGTGAGTAGACCTTTGTCGGCGGCAATATCAACTCAAGCTCTTGAACGAATCGTTGATTCTGAAGAATCACTTACTTCAGATATGGGAGTCAGTAAACCTCCTTCTGATATAGGAGGTTCTTCTGAAACAGAAATAAACTCCAAAGCCAATTCTGATATAGCTGTTGATGTACATGCATCTACAGTGAGTTCAGAAAGTTTTCATTGCATAACAAACAAGGAAGACAGTAATAACAAATGTAATAAAATTGGAAACTTCAATTATGAACACTCCATTGTTGAGAACATGTTGCCAAGTGATAAAAGTAGTCAAAATCTAAATAAACAATCTCAAAATGAAAAATTATCAGAGTCATCTGAAGAAACTAGACAAGTAGATCATGCTAGAATAGCACCAAGAGGTAAGCTTGAACGTAGTATTGGTAGCTTAGATAATAATGAGCTTTCTTATAGCTTTATTTCGTTAAATACATATGAAAATATTCATGAAACAAATGAAACAATTGAAAATAATTATAATAATATTCAAAGTAATGATTATTACAATGATTACAATAAAGTGAATAAGAATTTTAATGATGGTTACAAAAATAGAAATACATCAAATAGATCTTTTGATTTTAACGAGAATCAAATCATTAAAAATACTCCAAAATTAATAACAGAAAGAAATATCAGTTCAGAATCAGTAGAAAAAAATTGTGTCAAAGTTAATAGAAAGCCAAAACTTGTAAAGACATCGACTTTCAATATCACTGACAATGTTCCTATTGAAGGTATCCCTTTCACGAAAATTTCTCATACAAATAATTCAGGAATGTCAAATGAAAAGAAAAATGTTCATAGTAAAGATACTTACAGCAATTGCAAAAATGACAAAGATTATTTTAGAGAAGTAAAATTGGAAAAAAATCTTGAGTATAAAAGCATATGTAAATTAGAAAACAATTGTTATCATAATAAATTTATTTTTTCACCACACTCTTATAATTTTCGATATCCTAATAATTATTTACAAATTATCAGAGATAAAAATGGTCGATCTAGCTTGAGATGTTCTTCAAGGTGGTATAATTCTCAAGGAAATAAATGTAAAGGTACAAATATATCATCAAAATTAACTAAAAAAACACAATCTATGTCTGAATATGATATTCCAAAACGACGTCTATCACTTCCTTTAAGTAGTTTACAAGTTTTTGCTTTCTCAAAGAAACCTACAAATGTTCAAAGCCCTTGTCTAGATTCTATACCGAATGAAATTAATGAAATACCTTCATTTCCATTAATTAATAAATCAGAATCTAGGAATAAAATCGAAAGAAAATTAAGTATCTTGCAACCACCACCACCTGGATTAGTTAGTAGACAGGAATCTAATGAGAACTGGAATAAATTCTTACACCAGTTGAATTGTATTCTTGAAAGTAGAACCGGTGAATTTGTTTAAATTGAATAGATTTTTTTTTTGTACATAAGATGGAGAAAAGTAAAGAAATATTACAATTGTTTCATTTGGATCATTTATATAAAAAATACAATCATTTAGAAATGTACATATGTATAAAGGTATGCTTTCTCTAATAGAATTAAAACAGAAAAAGTGATATATTATTTAAGAATAAATAGTAAGGAAATGATTTTCTTTTTATTGATTTTATTTTTAATTTATACTAAGCTTACATTTATGAATGTCATGCTTATACAAGATTTAAATATTTTTTTACTTTGGTACATAATACTATTTTATCATTTATCCAAATCGTTTCTTTATTATCTGATTTATTTATTTTTTATTTGTAAATTTTTTTTGGTGATGGCTACTTTTTTATATAGCTGGAACACATGCACCTACTCCTAAACCTCGTAGTAATAGTAAAGGATGTCCTGTAGTACCACCCCGTGCTGCTTCAACTACATTATCAAAAAAGCCAATAAGTGAATCAGTTTATGAACAAGAAAAAAATCTAACTGTTATTAATCCTGGTGATAAAACTGAACAAATTAACATTGTTGGAGAAGATTTAAGAAATAATGCAAATTATAAACAAAAACAGGATGAATTAAATGAAGCTAATTATAATTATAATAATAATGATGATGAAATCAACCACAGTGAAGTAGAAAGGAGTAAAAATAAAGATTTAATTCAGAATAATGAAGCATCAGAAGTGGTAATGTGGCAAGAGGGAAAAACAGAATTTAGTAACAAAGAAATGGTTAATACAAAGACAAACTCAAATATTCAAATAAATCATCACGACTTTACTGATGCATCAGATTTAAGTCCCATTTCAGAAGTTAATATGTCTAATCCAAAGGCTGAAATAGAAATAAAAAATGTACAAGATGCATTATCTGAGGATAATATATCTAGTGAAGAACAGTTCACTACTTCACCATTAATAACTTCTGGCATTAATCTAGGTCTTCAGATTGATTTAACACATTCCACAGAAGAAGGGGAATTACATTCTCAAGGGACAGGGAAAGCAGGTGCATGTCACTGGCCTACTAACACCTTAATAATAAGTTATTCTCAAATATCTTTTAAATATTCTGAGAAGTCATTGATTTTAGAATTATGGTTTTTTGGTTTGGGATTTTTTTTTATTATAATTTCTTCATTAATTAACATTTTTTTTAAATAGCATTCTTGTTTACAAATTATTATAGTAGTCTTATCAATAATGTTGAGAAATATCTTAATTTTAAAGACAAAAAAAATTCTTAGTCATTGAATGTTATAATCAATACTGTATTTGTAATTTTTCTTTTAAATAGTCATCGGTTTTCGATTGACGACAATCATTTATGTGTAAAAATAATTTTAAAAAATGAACTCTGTTAATTTTAATATTCAATTTTTTGTAACTTTGAAAAGCTAACAAATTTAATACTTTTTTATATTTTATAACACTTCTTATTTGGTCAATATTATAAATGTGAAAGAATTTTTAAAATACTAAAATTTATAGAAAATTAAAACACTGAGATGATTGTCTGTCTAAATAAGAACCTAAAATCACATTTCTAAGATAAAAATGATTAAAAATGACTAGACTATTTTTTTAAATGCAATTTTTCTATCAATTAATTATTTTATATTTTTTTTTAGGTAATAATAGAAATCAAACGGAAACAGATCATCTACTTCAAAAAGTATCCAGTACATTGGCTACCGTTTTACCTACATATGAGCAAAATTCATGGGATGCAAATCCAAGTGAGTCTAGGGATTTGGAGAATATAAATCCAGTGAATTTGAAAAATTCAACTCCACACCGTGAAGAAACTCGTTTCAATGATATACCAAATTCAACATTGAATTCTCAACAAGATACTTCAGATTATGTGTCGGCAAATGGTGAAGATTTAAGTGGAACTGATTGGGAATATCAACTTCCCGATCCCCCTTCGGCTTTTAGGGATACTATTAATTCAGATAAGGATGTTTGTGATACAATTATGCTTCATTCTGTGGATGCTTTTAAAGAGCCGCAGGTAGAATTAGAAGAAAAAAATTGTAAAACTCCTACAAAGGAAGACAATAAATCAGAAAAGCAAAAAATTGAATGTATTTTAGAAGAAAATAGTATTAATAAAGACAACAAAATCTCCAACACTGAATCTTTGAAAACAACATCAAACCCAAAACAAGTTCAAGAAAAAACAGATGTTGAATTGAAAAAGAATATAATATCTGAATTGGAAGCAAAAATTGAAAATGGATCTTTAAATCAACCAAGTAAAAATTTAGAATTAGAGAATAGAAAAACTTTAATACAAACATCAACACCAAGAATTGCACCAGTTGAAAATACTTTGCCTAATTTTACTATCACAACTTATTCAAGGCAAAAGAGTTTGAATATTTATGATAGTCCTGAGAAATCTGCATTGCATTTACCTGATTATTCTCAAGATAGGATTGTTAAAACATTTGCGACATTATCAAGAAACGTTAGTTCTCTTTCAAACAATAAAGGTAATTATTCTTCACCTTCGAAAATAAATTCTCCAAACGATTTTATAAATGATAATCGTAAAATAACTCGAACACAAAGTATACAAAATATTAATTCTAAAGGAACAGCAGACAATGATTTAAGAACGAAAGAAAACAATTCATCGGAAGAAATTAATCATGATAATGAAGTTGATAATAAAAACAAATCTAATGCTGTTCATCGATCTAAAAGTTACATAGTTTTAACAAATAATTTAAAATATCGAGAAAATAAGCCAACATCAGATGTAACTGATCATGAAAAAATGATGAAAAAATCAACAAGTGTTACAAACTTGAATCAAAGTAATGCTTTGGTTAATGAAACATCTCAAATACTTCAGAATGGTCAGAAAAATTTAAATATCAGTTCACAAGAAAAAGAATTACAATCGGTTCAAGTATTAAAAAGTATTTTGCCGCAATTGAAAAATACTCAATTGTCGGAAGAAAATACTTCAAATGTGTTCGGTAATAAAACAAAAATTGGAGAAAAAATATTAGAAAAGTCAAATACACAAGTCCATTTGAATGGAGGTGAAGAAAAAAATGTAATATCAAGTAAGAAAAAAATAGAAATAGAAGACACTAAACGCCACAGATATACTGGACCACCTTCTGTAAGTCTTGGAAGTTGGAATGAAAGACCCTGTGCCCATGTCCAAATAAAAATGGATCAAGATTATAAATTTGGTGTTAAAGATAATACAAGTGGAGCTAAAACGGTCGTTAGCTTAAATAGTTCAAGCAACAATGTTGATATTATGAATTTCAAAGATAATTATGTTAAAAATTTACCAAAGAATCGAACAAGTACTGTACAGAATGATAATATCCCAATTTCTAATGAGATAATGCCAATGATAAAACGGGTCACAGATAATGAAGTTGCGAAGAAAGTTATAAATACTTCTATAAGTAATAAAGAATTAGGATTTAACAATCTTGGTTTTGCGAAACTCCGTTCAGCATCTAAAGATGAGGACAAACCGGTCGTTACTAATATGGAACTAAAAAAATGTTACATCGACAAACCGGAATTTAATGATGATGATGCGAAAATTGACACCAGACCGGTTAATTTTCAAGAATTAACTCAAGCATTTGGTCAAATTAATCTACGAACAAAATCAAAATATAAAAATAGTCAAAATCGTCATTCAGATTACTTAGATTCAAGATTAAATCATGATATAACTGATAAAAACATGGCAAAAACTACGGGGTGTAAGAACTCGAGTGAATCAAAGAATCCAATAGTTAAAAGATATACTTCTGTCATTGATATTGACAATCAACACCTAACAAATGGAATGAAAAAAAATAACACAGAAAAAATACCAATAAATTCCTTTAATAATTATATTCCTGAAATGAACAGACATTCATCAACCACTACCACAGTTATTAATAAAGATTTCCAAATATATTCGTATAAAGACACTCCTAAAAATGCTAATTTGTCAGCAAAAAACAATGAAAATAAAGAAATCAAACTGTTGGTGAATAATAAAATAAATTCTCATATTCCTACACCACCGTCAATGCCAATCATCACAGGAGTAACTTTGAAAAGCAATAATGTAAGACCAAAGTCAATGCCGGTTTGTAATGATCCTCGAGATCAATTATTAGAATCAATTAGGAGTTTTGGACGAGATAAATTAAGAAACGTTAAAATAGTTTCTTAAAAAAGAAATAAAATAAAGAGAATATAAGAATAGAAAATATAAAAAATGTTATTTTCACTTCTTATAATAATTATTTGATATAATTACGAAAATATTAAAAAATAATAGCGCCAGTATAACTGATGCGAATTGTAAAAAAATATATTTATCGAATGAAAAATAATGTTTGAAGTCGGTGTAAATTTCGTTTTGTTTCTATATCAATTATTTTTTCTTGCAGAACTGATATGCTTTTATGATTATCAGCTCTACTAATTATTATTTATGAAAACCTGTAGGATTTACAGTGGAAATCTAATCAAATGAAATTTTTGTCGCAAGCAGTTAATTGTATATAGCTTATAATTTGTTAATTAGTTGATAATTATATTTGTTATTAAAATAATATTATATCTAAAGTATTAATTAACGACTATAAAATGTATTGAACAGTAGTAATGTAGAATATTAAGAAGCTCAGGTGCTCTGGTTTAATTCCAATAAATATTACTGAAATGAACTCAGCAGTAACTAGTAAAGTGGATAATATTAGTCATAAATCATATAAAGAGCAATGAAATTAAATAATAATAAATGTAAAATATTTATATATTTTTTTTAAAATTATCGATTTTGAGAATAATGAATTTTTTCAAATATACAAAACTATTTTTCGAAATATCTAAAAACTATTTATTAAAGTAAAAAAAATAAAAAAAATTAATAAATATACGAAAAAAATTAAAAAGTAGAATATTGATTACATGATTTAGAGGAGAAAAAATATTGATAGTTATTCATTTTTTTCGTCTCGAATATTTTTTAAAATAAAGTCATATAGTGCCAATTATTTGAATATTTAAATTGACCTAATAATGCATTTATTAATTTTGTGGTATATTGAAAAAAATTATTACTTTACTTAATTGAACTTTGGTGAAAAAGCTAAATTTCTTTGTACTGAATGTTTCGCGTTAGTCCAAAGTATAATAAAACAAAAAATAATTTTGATTGTATATTTCAGTATTTGACATTGCTCATTTGTATAACAAGAAATTAAAGTTATGTTGCATCGTTTATTTACTGAAAAGATAATAAATAAAAAATCTTATTCTTGCAACAGCACTTTAATTTTTTCATTAAACAAACCAAAGGTAATTTTGTTTATTCTATATTATGAAACGAATATAAATATTACTGATTTTTTTTTGTCTCATAAAAAAATTAATTTTGTAAATAAATTTTACTCGTAAGGTACATAATAATGTAGTAGTATTTAATATTACTACTTGATGTAACAATCTAAATACATGATATACTATGTAATAAATACATTCATTATCAAAAATGTGGTAATCAATAAAAAATGATAATCTAACATATTATATTTGTCATTCCAATTTATTTGTACAATACTGAAGTCAATTAATCTTTACTGGGTAGTATTATTAATACTTTAATATTGTTAAACTTTATTAAAATTTAAATTTCACATTCGATTTTGTAGTAACCCATTGGTTTCTTTGTTGTCGGTTATTTTTAGAGAAATCAGATATTTATTCAAGTCGCAAGATCCAAAGGGGAGTGTCTTTACAAATAATTTATATTTCAATGACTTAAAATTCACTATGTAAATATAGACGATAATATAATTGAGTAAAAAAAAATTGACTCAAAAAATGTGTTACACATAAAGTTTAATGAGCTGTATTGAATATAAAATAATTAATTACTTTGTATTCCAAATATTAGACATGTGAGCAATTTTTGTGATAAAAATTTAATTAAGGTAATTTATTTGGAAACTCATCGTAGATACGAGGCTAATTTTGATATTAATTAAATTAAATTCATCAGAAAGTCAGTTGTGCATATTGATTAAATTAAATTAGATTTTTAATCGAGCATTACTAGAAAATTCGTCTTTACGTTAGAAACATTCAATCTAATTAATCATAAATATATTCATAAAATGAAATTCTTATATAAATAAATTGTCTAACTAAACAGTTCACTTGTCGCATTATGATAGTATTATAAAAGTTTTAGTCAAGAACGATTAATTTTAATAATTTATCTGGTTTTAATCTTACTCATAAATTATTTTTCTATTAATTTCGATGATAAGAATTCACTATCTCATTTGTATTTACTTATTTTATGTAAACATTTTTAACTATAACGATGATTCCTTAAAAATGGTGAAAATTTATTGATAGATACGAGTTATAATAGAAACTTTTATTTATTATTCATAATTTAATTCCAAATAATTATCATAAAGATTTATCAAAAATTTATATAACATTAATCATATAAAAGAATATAAAGCACCATTATTATCAAATATAATTTTATAATTATTTGATTTATGAGTAAATGAAATAATTATATATAGAAATTAACTATAATCTTATAATATTAGCTACTCTACATTTTTATATTCATATAATTATCAAAAACATGTTTTTAAGTTATTATTATTTATAATAATACAGTAGAAAATTATTTAAAAATTTCAATCTTTTAAAATCGTAACAGATCGTAAGCTTATTCAATAATTTATTGATAAATTCATTTCATTTAATTTTTGTAAATATTTAATGATTTAGTTAAATTCTACATTTTGGATATAAAACTATTTTGAAAGAAAAAAAATTAACTGATAATTACATTGCTTTCATTGTCATTCATAAAGTAAAGAATCATTCACCTGGTGTAATTTATTCTGACTGCAACTTACAAATTATAATTTCATGTGCGGCTACTCCAAAGCTGTTTTGTATGATTATCAATGTAGAATACATCAATTTCAGTACATGTTTTGTTACATTTTTGCTTTACTATTTTCATTTATAAATCTGGAATAGGTGCATTACAATTTCCATGCCACAGCTTTATTTCAGAATTGCATTGTGAATAATTAGCGAATACATCGGCATATCCACGATCACGCCACCATGTACACAGTTGTCGGTTCCATCCACAATCCAATGTGTGAATTAATTCAGGTCTTTCCATTCCTAAGAGTGTATAAAAGTCTTGGTCACCTAAATGTCCCTGAAATTATATTTGAATGTAATTTAAAATAAGTTATTCATTCTTTACTTAACTACTATTAAAATATTCTCGAAATAAATTTTAAATCAAATACCAACCTTAAAACTATATTTCTCTGTCATATGTTCAACCATATCTCTGCTAACAATTTGATCATACTCTAATGAATTACGTAATCTCTCTAAGTTAAATAATACTACTCCACTATTATATCCAGGATATCCGCCAGATGAGAATGGCTCTCCAAACATAGTATCTGGATGCTGACTTCGAAAAATGTATAAAACATGACGATATACTGGTGTCAATTCAGGTGCTAAACCAAACAAAGCTTGCCCTCCAAACTCTTCGAATTCTTGAAAAAGTTCTTTTATATCTTCACGTAATTTTGTATCGACATCAAGCATTACTGCTACTTTTTGTTGAGGAGAAGCTATTCTATGCAATCCTAACGATAAAAAAAATAGAGCATCTGAATAATATGTTCCTGGTTTACTGGAGAATTTTAATGACATCACCGATACAATATCTTCTAGTTGTAATGCTAATTTGTGTACATCATAGTATTGCACCTAAAAAAGATAATTTTCAATAGTCTTTGATGTTTGTTATTTCTTAATACTTATTGGTAAATAACTTTTTCAAATACAAAAATGTTTTCAAATTATAAACAATGATAATTATAGTTAGATTTTTTGTTTTCATTCAGTTGTGAGTATTTATGAAATTTCTCTGGTAAAAATTATTTTAATACTAATTATTAATAAAACTAAACCAATCTTACCTGTACTGGTTTCTTCAGTACTGAAACTATATTTTGAATAATTCTTTTAGCAATTTTTTGACTACTGTCATCAGTTATAACATGAAGTGCTACATCAACTGATGCAAACTTTAATAATGATTCCGTAAAAATACGAAATTTTTTCTTCATTGGAGACATTGATGTAACTTTAGTAAATATACACCAAACATTATGATAGGTAACATTAGTTGATTCTAACTCATATAATGTTTTAACCGATAAATTATAATAATTAGTGTATGAATTTAAGGCGGTTGAATGGTTTTCATGATCATTAACATTGTGTGAACGTGAATTATTAATGTTCCAATAATAAGAAGCATTTGGAATTTGAAGGCAATATAAAGCGAGCAAAACAGCCGCAACAAGGGTCAATTTTATTAAAAAATTACGTGATAAACGCATTTAATTATTTATTCACCATTCTCAACACCATTCAATTTATTCTTCTTCGTAAAGAATAGTTGGGTTAATCACTTCAATAATTTATTTATAAATAAAAAATATTATGAAGATTTATATCACTATTTAATAATAAATCACTTGTTTTAGTTTATAAATAAAACTATGGCTTATTTACACGCCATTTTTAGTGTTGTCATTTTAAAGTAAGAAAATATACTATGGATAATATTGATATAGGATAAAAACTACTTTACCGATTGAAAAGAATTTTTCAAATACAATAACCTCATATTAATTTGCAAAAATAAAATTTCGGCTTATCATTTGTATACTTTTATTTGAAATTATATGTTAAATTATATGTTTCTACATTTATGCAGCTTAAAAGTGGAATTTTAAAAGGTAGAGATCAATAAAATGTTAAATATCTTAATTTACTACCATCACACGACCAAGTCTATTTGCATATTATACAAGTTCGTGCGCGTTCCGAATAAAAAATTAATATCTCGTAAACTTTTTATTATAAAGAGCTTAAACTAGGCTCATTTTGTCCTATGTCTAGCGTTCTATCAATTATCGAAGCATGTATTGATCTCTAATAAATAATTTTCAAGATATTTATAAAAAAAGAAATTTCAGAAAAAAATTCAGCTGTTTGCAAAAAAATATATGCAAGTTTTTCTGTGTCCACTTTTTAATACATCTACTTAGTTTCTAGTAAAAAAGGAATATTTTTTAAATTTTAATTTGATAAATAATATTTAGAAAAAATTTATAACAAAAGTTGTCAGTAATATTATTTTCTATAAAAAATATATTCAATTTTTTATATCTCGTTAATGTAAATTAAGCTACTAATTAGCACCTGTAGTCATTTTAGAGCTAAGGATTAAAATTAATTATTTCAGGAATTATTAAAAAAAGATTTCTCAATAAAAACGAGGTAAAAATTTTCTTAATTGCTTATTCGTTTATTTTAAAAATTTTTTAGCTCTGATTAAATATAATTATTCATTAATTTTTTATTCACAGTTATCTTCCTCAAAATTGGCGTGAATAATAAGACTGAGTATTCAAAATAATTCTTCATTCGTAAATCATTTTTAATATTAATTTTCAAAAAATCATATGATTAAATCGAATTATTCTATTATTTAACAAAACGTAATTTATATTTAAATAATTTCTACAATTTCAGAGTATTTATAAAGATTGACAATTAATAATAATTGTCAGTTCGGATAATAGTAATAAAAATTATTAGTGTATTTTATTAATCTAATTTTATCCTAAAAATAAAAACACCAACTGGATCATTTACGTCATTCATTTGATCACTTGTATCTTTTATTTTTTGAAATAATTTACGTAGACGTCATTACTGTTTTTTTCTAAGCAATGTTTGCACAACCAATATTATTCAAATTTCAGGATAATAAAAAAGGCTATTAATCAAATCGATTTTTTATACTTTAAATATAATTACAGCCATCAATTTAACAAGCCAATACATCACAGGATTTTTTGATACTCTTCATTTCAACTCGTGTTCAGAAAATTCTCTTCAGATCTAATTGCTTTAATTAATGAAAATAATTTCCAATTCTTGTATTTTATGATCTATTCTTATTCTTCTTCTACGTCCAACAATTCATCAGAAATGAACTCAAGAATTGAAGTTATAAAGATCAATTTCATTCAATATATCTCATAATCAGAGAGTTATTTAATTTGATCCTGGATAATCATTTTATATTAATTTACTCTAACAAAATTCAATGTTCAAATTCACATTTAATGTAAATACTTATGAACTAAAATAAAAAATTCTGTTTATGACAGAATTTTTTTTTAAAATGATAATGATTATATTCTAACAACACTGCAAATTGTAGTGTTTTAATTTAAAACACTTCCAGATTTGAGATTTGCAGTGAATGTATCGAAATAAGTAATTAGAAGCAAACTGATTGATGATTCTCTAAATGAAGATGCAACAATTATACAAAAGTCTGGGTCGAACAGACATCTAGTCTTCAGTATTTAACATATCGTTGTATAACGAATAATAATGACAGTTGGTCGAATTATTTAAATATAGAAACCTTTTTATTTACGTAAAAAGACAAATGTTTCTAAGAATGACAGAATGAATTTTATTATGAAGACAAAATTGCAAATGGACGTTTTGAGACATATAAGTAAAAATATTTTTCTTTAACAGTAAATTTTGCGTTTTCGCAAGTAATTATTCAATTACAAGATCTTTTAAGTAATTAGTTTACTTACAAGAACTGACAATTTGCTGTTGAGTAGAAGTATTTTTATTTTTATGTCATAATATAGGCATGTGTCATTTTTCTCATTTGCAATTTTGCAAAACAATTTATTTTTAAACACATAAAACATGTAACGACCATTTCAACTAAAATAATTGTTGATATTTGGTTAAAAACTAATAAAATCAATTTCCACTAAGAAACAAATTCGAAAGATAAAATTAATTTTAACATTATTTCACTTTGTCTGACATAAAAAATAAATTTTTCATTTTGTAATCAAAAATTGTAATGAAAAATTTATTTTGTTATGTTAACAATTCAATGATTTATCAATAACGATAATTAAACACACATTTAAATAAATTGCTACATTTTATCAATTTTATAATCTTTCATTTATAGTACTATACAGTGATCACAACTAAGTAATTAATTTATTATGGCTGCTAATATAAGAAATAAGCTAAAAGTATCAACCGTTTTTTTTTTTCATATCGGAGTAAAACTGCAGGTGTAATAGTTAAATACCAATTTTAGATAGTGTAATTCGAATTATACCATTTAAAAATTTCTTACAGGAATCAAAGGTTTAATTAACATATATAATTTATTATGTAAAGAAATAAACTGTTCATGAGTTATGAATTTTCAATGTATATAAATATAAAATCCAAAAAATATCCATCAGGTTTATCAAAACATTTTAAAAATATACATTTTAATACATTATAATCTTCAAAGATATTTAATTTTTAAAAGCGTGTTTCAAATAATATATATTGCTATTTATTAGTAAAATAAAAAAAAAATTCATGTGGTAAAAATAAAAATTTTCCAGCCATGTTAATGCTATACAGAGACAAGTATATACAGTGGAAAAGATGACAACGTCTTCATGAAAATCAGATAGATATGTAAAGTAAATTTTCTCAATATAGACGAGTTACATAACATGAACTATGGTGATGTTTTCATAAATATTTTGGTTAACATGGTCAACTTACTTCAATGTTTTTGGTCTGCAATACTTCCATTAAAAATGTAAGTTAAGAGGGTAACTTAATAATGACATGATCGATGTTGAAGCTCAATAGAAGTGATAAGTCACGCAAAGTGTTATCGAGTAAGAGAATACGGGGCAAGACGGCTTTTTCGATTTTTGGTAACTCAGTGAGGCAAAATGGATCCTCCGAAGCTGTTAATACGAAAGTTAACATTGATTTGAAAATATGCTTATCGCTCAAATTACATTATTATGTGTATAAGTCATTTTAAAATTCAAAAAACCGTCTTGCCTCGTATTCCCGTATGTTAATAGATTCTATGGGAAATTCAAAGTTAGAAAATATTTGAAAAATGTCGTCAATTAATTAAACAAGAATTTTCAAAAATTAATATTCTATCAAGAAATAATCGAAATTATATTTCAACATCATTGAGAAAAGAATTTGGTTTCATGAATCAAATATATTGAGTTGACACTTGTCTACCAATATTTACTAATTATTACAAAATTACCGTAATTATTACCAAATAAAGTCATATCATCGGAATAACCGAGCGATTTAAAGCGTTAGATTAGGTCGTATGCATTCTAACGGCCATAGGTTCTCGAATCTTGTAAATAACAAATTTTATTTAAATGTAAAAAAATAAAGAAAATCAAATTAAAACTCATAACATTCACGAGAGTAACAAAAAATTGATAAAATCAAATTATCTGTGTAAATTATTGAATATTTCTTAATTTTTTCCCTCAAGCATACAAATTAGAGTTTAAATAAAATATTGTCAGTATAATTATCAATTTATATCATGCTCATTTAAATTAGTAATTATTAAATGAAACTAATTTTTTTTTTTTTAATTTAAGGATGTGTTTAGTCCACTTGAAATAGTAGTTTGATAATTATAACTAAATAAATAACTACACTGTAAATTTTAGTGTTTTATTTTAAAACATTAAAAGTGTTTTAATATGACGTCACCCATTTTATTAACATTGTCTAAATTTTAATACACTTAAAAATGTTTTAATCAGAAAGCTCAAATATATAATTCATTTTCAGTGACTAAATATTTATTTTGCGATATTCAAGTATGCACTGTAGATTCTAATTTTCCAAAATGCATTATTTTAATGCGGATAAGTGTGTTAAATATGATGTCACCCATTTGATTAGCATTGTAGTCACTTTTAACGCAGATCTAAGTGTGTAAAAAGTGATGACAATGTTAATCAAATGGGTGACGTCATATTTAACACACTTATCCGCATTAAAATAATGCATTTTGGAAAACTGAGATTTACAGTGTGGGATTTGATAATTATAACCAAATATTAATTAATAAAAAGAAGCTCTTTTCCTCAGTGTACGCAAAAGAGCTTGTCCAAAGTATCCTCACATCTTCAATAAATTGACTTCATGTTAGGTAGACCATAAATTGATAAAGAGATTATTAAAATGAGTTTCTTAATTTTTATTTTACTTCTTCAAACAACTGATGTAATTATAAAGTCAAGTGAGACTTACAAAATTTTACTTAATGTGAACATAGCATAAATCTTTATGAATGAATGTCATCATGACAGATTTAAATTTATTGATAGCAAAAATATTTTTTCTTATGATTCAAGGGAGGTTTTTATTTGCGTCAACTGATTCTTAGTAACAGTTAACATATCATGCTTTATATTAAATAACTTTATTATTTCAATCAGTACTACAATGATTTGAATTAAAATTGAATATTTAGTAACTGATCTCATGAAACTTCTTCTTGATCAATATTCTCCTGTCACTAAATTTTAATCCATTTGACTATAAATTAGGTAGTCTTCTTTCAAATATATGTATATTAATAACTGAAATTCATGGATCAACGAAATCCAATTTTATAT